CAAACCAAAAAAATGAGACAAAAACTAATGCAGTGAATAGTAAATAACTAATTTGTGAACTAACTACTTGCGTATTATTTGTGAAGGGTATTGAAATTTTGGCAAAACTCTAAACATAGTAAAATAATATTAATAAATTAATAATGTATAAAATTTTATTCAATTACATTGAATATTGTGCCTATTACAAAACAGACTTTTTTGTGATCCCTCATTATTTTTGTGAGTTCAGTTCTGCCTAAAACATATTTAAGTAAATAATTATATTTTAAAATTACGAAACACTCACTTTATTAAAATTTACAACACTATTCATTTATTTTCAAATTGCTTAGTAACTTTTCACTTATTGTTCACTACTTGAGCTTCTCTAACCTTGTATATGTAATTTTGGTGAATTTTTTAATTTCTGACCTATTTTTTTATAAAGGAAACACTGAATAATTGTTTCGAATTGTTTAAAGTTTCCGTAGTAACATTTCACTGAGTTCAAAACAATTATACTAGAAAAGTAAATTAAGAGCCTTCCACTTATGTTAAACTCAGTAAAATTGTAACGATATCCTTGCAACAACTAAACTAGAAGTCTTTCGTATACTGCCTCAACTATAGTACTGCTCTCGTATGTCATATTTATACATTAACACACGCATTTAAATGTTTTGGGGCATAAACATTTTATCAAAGATGAGCAAAAAAGGAATTCTTTTATGCAAATATGTACCCTTAGTACAAAAATACAGGATATATACGTATATACTTTATGTACATTAACACTACACAAGTCCATATACTCATATGGATGTAATATGGATGTAATAATGTTGGCTAAACAAAATTTTATCATTTTAATTTTAATGCAAAACTTTAAAGTCATTAAAGAAAACCACAATTAAAATTAAAGTTTTAGATATTTTAACAAAAATTTCTGAATTTTAATATTCACAAATGGAATTGACAGTTGTGTTATCCGCAAGTCCAGGCAGTTAAATAAAGTTTTACCAACAGTTACATTATTAGTTGAAATGTATTTATCTTGTATAACGATCTCATTTATAAGGATGACATGCAGTATATCTGTTGATGATTTCTGTTCACGGTACTGTACCCGCAGAAACGTGAAAGTAGCTACAGTTCACAAAAAATACAGGTAAATAGATAGTTAATGGTTTAATGTACAAAACAATTGCATTCAACTGATTGAACTTAAAAATAAATAATAATTCGTAAAAAATTTAAAAAAAAAGTGCTATCGAAAAAGTATAAAATTGTCAATAACCGGGATGTCATATCAATAAAAATTGTAAATGGATTGCTTTGTAGAAATAAAAGGTTGAATAATCTTACCAGGAACACATAAACGTTTAAAATAGTAATAAAATAATAATTAAATTGTTTTATCTTCGAAAGAATTATTTAAAGCTAGGAAAGATAGGCTCTATACAGGCTTTCATTAAAGAAATCGGACTTAAAAAAACACTCTAACCCGACTAAGGGACACAATAGATCCTTTAGGTCGCAGTGTACTACCTTTTTACTAATAATAATATTCTCGAATGGTTCAAATGATGCATCTGTCAAAGAATTCTAAAAATGCGACTAAACTAAAAAATTTCACGAAGAATTAATAGCAGTCGGAGATTTGTACACAGTCATAGAGAAAAGAAGTGTGTAACATATTTAGGATATGTAATTCTAAATACGAACTACCACAATAGATTATCTAGAGAAATATGGAAGGAAATCACCAGGGTTTTGTCTTGAATACTAAAAATAATATTCCATCCAAAACAGACATTGGTGAGAATGATGTTAAACCTAACAACTTTGGAATCATCTAAGGCTATGTAAAAATCTCCGAACTTTACGAAACGTTTTCGGTAAACAACCTGTATATGTCTTCTTCTTCTTTAGCTGTAACAACCCATTACCGGGTTTCGTCCTGATGCAGCAAGTCTCTTCAGGCGACTCTCCTGGAGTTATACATAATGATGTTGAGTTGCAATATTGTATGCAACAACAAAAACAACTAGCTTTTTCTAAAATACTTTGTATATTGCATTACTTAATGTTAAGTCAGCATTATGCTGTTACACTTAAGATCGCTTAAAATATAAAGTTAGCAATTGTAAGCTGTACTAGTGGATTGGGAAGAAAATTAAAAAATAAGTTAAACAGAGCTGTTTCTTTCGAGTCATCTCGATCAGGGCTTTTTGTGTTCTTCGGTTTTAAATAAACAAATTATTGTATATATTTAAGAAAAAATGTAGTTTTATTAATCTATAGAAACATGTAACTTGCGCGCTTTCTCCAGTCTTGCACATTAAGTCCGATTTGTACTCCCTTGTTCACTCCACCGGAGACACGATCTACCTCTACCTCTTTCTTCTCTCCAACTACTGGAATATATTCATCCATTCTCACGACATGACCACGGCAGCGAAGCTGCTGGATGTTAAATCACTGAATTATATCACTACCGTGATAAAGCTCATACCCTGTATATGTAAGTAGCAATAAAAAAAACTTTTATACTACAAACATAAATGAGTAATTTTAAATATATTTCATTGCAATTGAGTATAAGTTCCCTCAAGCTTATCTAAAATAGCTTTTTTTAAATTATTTTTAATTAAACTTCTAAATACAACAGAAAACATACTCATATTTAGTAAAATTAATAATTTATGTACGACTTTTAACGCAAACTGGGTGTTTAAGTACTTTAAATAATAAATAAACATAAATTATTTTTAATTGTTCATTTTTGTGCATATGAAATATTAATAATATTCATTTGAATATTAAAGTGTTTAAGGAAAAGCGTTAATTAGATAATAAAGTTTATCGATTAAAATAGGTGCCTATACAAATACCTACTTTGTATAATAAATGTAAAATAATTACTTCTATTCTATTTCGAGAAATTTTTCTATAAATAAAACTGTATATTATTAATATAAAGCAGTTCTCATACAGGCAAGGAATAGTTTCTGCCAATGCATGAAGTACAATAAATACAACTCGACTTTATTAAAATAATTCTAGGAATTGAATAAGCTGCAATAATAACTAATAATCACAGGATTTCATAGAAAACTATCATAAACACCAGAAAAATTTTCCACTTATAATGTGACTTCAGACAGGTAAAAATCAGATTTCTTTCAATAATAAGCAATCCATTTTAGAAACTTATTTACTTTATTAATTTAATTAAATGATTATCAATCAATGATTTAAACAATTTCAAGCAGGACTTTTTAACAACCAAATGACTGGTGTTGTTAAAACTTAAGAGGTACTTTTTCACCAATGGAAAGTTTGGAAATTTTTTGGACTAGTGTCTCCACATATGTCGATTACCATACAAAATTGATCCATTGTTACTTAATATGACAATTTTTACATGATTGTAAAAACTATGAATTATTAAGATCTAAATATTTGTGTTCTCAAGTGATAAAATTTCTTTATTCTGGATTTACATATCTAACCAATTTAAACCAATTTAAGGTGATCGACCTTTTCTTTGCAACTTTTGATAACATTCTATAAAAATAAATTGCACTTAATTATAACAATTACAGTTTAAAATGAGCATTATAAGTATTCGTATAATTAGTATTATAAAGTAATGAATTCATTTTATTGAATATGAAGTCAAAAAAATTATTTTATGCATACAATCAAATTCTTAACGTCTTGAAAACAAACATTTATTAGAATATGGCCATACTATTATCAGCTATGTACATTAAAATCATCCAGTCCCACGGAGGATATTTAAATAAAGCATTTTGCACTTATTAATAAAATTCAAATATTGAAATAAACATTTTACAGAAAGAAAAAAAAATAAGGTATCATAACTGCGATTTACTTTCAGACTCTAAAAAAGGCATACTAATATATTAGGCATTATAAGATACACTTCAAAAAACATGGAATATATAAATGTACATGACGACTAAAAAAAATTAAGTAAAAAAATCCATACGTTCCTTTACACAGAATTTTTTAGAGACCTTTAATGAGAGCTAAATATACGTCTGCGTTATCGCTATAAAAAATCAAATTCCAACATTAAACATTTTGATATTTTCTAAGTTTTCGTTACTCAAACCAGACGGATTTTGACATGATCTCCTATTTGGCTAAAAATTTTTTTATGAGCTCCTTTCATAAAATAAGAACACCCGTATCTCGGAAAAAAATTTTGTAATTTTTTTCCTAGGAGATATGGATCCATGGGGTTTTGAAATTTTGCATCGTAGACACATTTTCCTTTTTAATTCATGAAAGTCATAAACAAAATTTCAGCCAAATCGGAGATATGAGGTCAAAAATGTGTAACGGTACACTTTTTAAAATTACCTATAACAGGTACTACATGAAATAGATAAAGATAACACAATGTACCTAAGATATTCTATAATGACTTGTCCGTCTTAACTTAGCGTTAGCCATACTATAATTTGAAGATTTGGAAAATATTAATAGTAAAATATTACACCATACTTTTTAATTACTCATATTTCTTTCTATGAATTAATAATATTCAATTAAATATAATTATTTAAGGAAAAGAGTTAATTGGTTAATGAGAACAATTGTTTGACAAGGGTTGAAATAATTTACACACCTCTACTATTCAATTTCAAGGTAAATTATAATTCTATATATATGAGTAAGTATTCCTAATGAAATGAAGTCTTTAGGCAGACAATGGAAAGTATCTACTAACGTCGTGTTTCAGTGTTGAACCTATTTCAATTTAACTAAATTAAACGCAGAAATTAGTAAAATTGCAAAAATAATCAAATACTTAATTGATTTTATGTAAAATTATAATAAATACTTTTATAAACTTTTCGCACTAATAATGTGACTTTGGTCAGCTGAAAATATATTGACTAATAATAAACGCATAAATAAACTGGACTTACTAATTGGAGAAGTAGTGAATTTAGCAATTTCAAAGTGAGCTTAACATTGCGATGACATCTCAAATCAAAACTTGGGAAGCACTTACCTATCAATGGAAGGTTTGGAAATTCTTCGGTCTTGTACCTCCACAGGAAGGGTCCATTTGGCGATTACCATACAAAATCTGTACAATGTTACTCAATATATCAATTTTTATATTATTCTTCGTAACATTAATAGTGAATTGCTTTCAATCGCAAAATGTTTCTGAATTCTGTGATAATTTCTATTTAACAATTACCGTCGTTGTTTGTACTTTAAAAGTTTTGAATGTTTACTTATCTATTAACAAATTATTGAAAGTACGACCAATACTCGAAGAGTTGGATAAAAGAGCAAAAAGTCAAGCAGAAGATGACATATTGCTAAAGGGTAAAAAAGATGCTAAGGAATGTTTAATGTTCTACGTACGCGTTTGCTTTTTGACGTACATTACAGGCAACTTAATCGTGTATTTATCAAATGAACGAAGGCTTATGTATCCAGCATGGTATCCCTGGAATTGGAAGAATTCTTTTAAATATTATGCTATAAGCTATATATATCAGTTATATGCACTAACAGCGTTCGCTGTTATGGAATGTATAAATGCAACATATGCTTCGATGCATATGCGTCTATTATCAGCTCATATTGGAGCTCTGGGAATACGAATCCAAAACATAGGTTGGCAAGAGAATACAATTGGAAATAATGAATTTGATTTCAAACAACATGAAGAAAATGTATACGCTGAACTTATCAATTGCATAAAAGAACATGAAATTATCGTAAAGTATGGGAATGAAATAAGATATAAGAAGCTTTTAGATTATTTAAATTATTGTATTTCAGACTATTTAAAATTACCGAAAGTACAATAAGTAGTACATTCCTGATTCAATTTATTAGTACTGGCCTGGCGCAATGTACTTTAGGAGTGTTTTTTCTGTATCATGGCTTCAGCGTTGATATGAATTTATTGAATATTATATTTTTCTTTATAGCAGTTAGTTACATGACATTCAACTTGTGTTACTATGGCACTCAACTTCAGGATGAGTTTCAAAATCTGAATGCAGCGTTATACTCCTGCAATTGGATGGATCAAAACAAAAAGTTCAAAAAATCGTTGTTATTTCTTTTGCACAGATCGCAAATATACGACAACATAAATGCTTATATTTTACCAATTACTTTACCGACGTTTTTAAAGGTATGTGTTGAACAGATTTTAAATTTTATATGAAAGTATAAGATTTTAGAATTGTAAAAGATTTTTATATATTAGTAATACGAAAAAAAATCAATATATTAGCAGTGGTGTAGTAAACAAAACAACAATTTAAACTTATGTTAATATTATGTAGGTATAGAATATTTTCGAGATATTAATATAATACAATTAATAAGAAAATACTATATTTACAGGGTTAGACGATTGAAGTGTTATCTATTCAAGCGACCATATCTCTTTTGTGTCAAATTATTTTTTATTGATTCAATTTACAAAGATTTGTGGAAAGAATTAAAATTTTAGAATACATAAACTTTAGCTCGATGTGGCCACCTTTCGCCTTGTTCTTGACTATGGCCATCAAAAGGTTAAAAAATGAGTTGCAAGCTTTACGAATGTGAACTTTCGGTATTTTAGCAAATTCCTGAACAATGGCTTTCTTCAGCGCATCCATATTGGCATATTTTTTGTCCTAATCTTCACTGAACTCTCTAAAAATGGCCCATATGGAATAGACCATTGGATTTGCATCTGGCAAATTCGTAAGCTATTGTGTGGACCTTCATTTGAAATAAAGTATAGAACATGATGTTTTAATCATTCTTGATTAACACGAGCTTTATTAAATCGAGACCCGTGCCAAGTCTTGTTGGAACGTCCATGGTCTACGACCGGAATGTTTGCGTGCATTTCAGCAACTTTCGAGATATTTTCCCGATAATAAATCGCATTGAGTTTTACACCAAACTTGATAAAAATGATTGAGAATTATCCATCAGCAGTCACAGCTGCCCATGCGATTACTTGAGATGAAAAATTACTAACGGTGGTCATTCGAGGTCTCAAATTTTGGGCTGTGCGTTCAGTTAAGTAAACACGATCATTTCAAGAGTTTATGAACTGTTTAATGGGGAAATTTTTTTCATCAGAGTATACAATGTTTGAAGATTTGTCACGTTCGTGTGCAAGCGTAATAACTCCATTGCTCTTCCGAGTCTAAATTGTTGTTGTTTTGGTTTAAGATCTTGTGCGTATTGGAACATGTAAGGCATTTAATTGAATCTTTAGCTCATTTTGGAATAGGCGTCTGGTGATTCGCTAGGATATTTTAGTTGTTTGGACATTTGATTACCCATGTATATAATAAGTTTTATAAAATTAAATATATAAAAGCTATATAAAATAAATATATAAAAGCTATATAAAATATACTTATATATAAAAACTATACTGCACGATTCAATGTGTTAGTAAGATGAACTTTGTCTAATAAAAACTATTTTCTAAAATTTTAAAATCGTGACTGATGATAAGTCACGTGACTGTGATAAGTGTTGAATATTTTTTAATAAGTTTCAGAAAAAATAAGAAGGTTAAAATATCAATATCAAAATCAATAAACTCCTCATTTAAAAACATCTGTAATTTCGGTTTTAAATTCAAATTTAACATATTTTACCTGAGAAACAATGAATGAAAATGATTATGTTACAACAATAAATAATTTAAAACGTATTTTCCAAAATCCATCAATATAAGAATTTAAATTTTCTTGAAAATCTTTGTATTGGAAACCATTTGGCTTTTTTTTTACTAGTGGCACCTAGACCATCCTTGCCCCTTTAACTTTCCATCAAATTGCCACATCACTGCATATTATTATAGTAAAAAATATTAGTTTCTATTCACTACATAATAGTTAGTGAAGATCTTTATAATAATGCAATAGTTACTTACAGTCTTTTAGTAACTAACAGAAAAATGTACCAAAAAAATAAAACATTAGTATTTTATAATTAAATTTTCTTGATTTGTTAATGGTTTAATGAAACCTGATAATGTAAATTTAATTATACTTATAAATTATTAAATGTATAAAATAAACATATTGTTTTTTGATTTCAGGTCATGAAATTTTCTTATTCTGGATTTACATTTTTAACAAATTTTAAGTGATCTGCTTTATTTATGCAACTTTGATGACGTCCTCTAACAATGAATGACACAATTACTGTTCAAAATAAGCATTCAGAGTTCATTATATTAAATATGAAAACAAGTAAATTTAAATGATTAAATTTTCAATGATAATTAATATTAAATGCATTAAAATAAAGAACAATTACATTATTCAATGCATTTTAAAAATTTGATAAGTTGATACTCTAAAGTTAACCAGATTACGATAAGAACGAGTATATGATCTGATTAAACTGATATATTTAGTTTTTAACATATTACCCAATATACAGTTCCAATGAACAAAAATAAACTGAATTGTACTAACATAGTGCGTTTATTTCAAGTACATAGAAGAGCCAAATAACTTTTTATCTAGCAACAGCAAGAAATAAATGGAGTTTCAATTTTTACAGACCGAGAAACACGATTTGACTAGAACATTCTAAAACATATATTAAATAAATAGTGTGTACTGTTTATTTTGGTTCACTGGTGAAGATCAATGAAATCAATTCACTAATATTTCCAAAAATTCTTTACCGGTATTTCGGCATTAATAGCTCCTCCATATTAAGTATTGTATATTATATACTTTATTATAGTTATATATATTTTACTCCGCCAAGTAAAAGTGGTAGGAAAATCATAATTGTTAGAATTAAGAAATTTAACTAATAAAGAAACATTTAAAAATTAATATTTAACACAGTGTCCTTATTTCGTAAAAATTTATTGTCACGATCCAGCAAAACTGGTCGTTACATACTAATAAATTTGAAATTACATTATTTGTTTATAGTTGATTTTTGCGTAAAATATATTTTATTATATTATTTTAAGATTTAAATGAAATCTTTGATAAAGGGATAAAATTGTTAAAGGTAAGTTTGTGAATAAAAAATATATAAAGTTATATTCATATTCAAAGAAGATAACTTATACTCGTATTATCTTATCCACTAATATGAGAAGTAAATTTGCATACAACTATAACAAAAATAAAATATTTTAAGTGTAAATATCCTATCGTTCACTAAACACAACATTAGTTTATCAAGATTTAAGATTTTAAGGTTAGAAATGTTCTACGCATTTAAATATATTTAAATTGTACAATTAATTTTTGTATTAATATGCAAATAGGTTAATATATAACCTTAGAAATTAAAAATCATTTCTGAAACCTTAAAAGGCAAAAATACGACGAACGCTATGGTTCACTGGAATATAATCTATGGCGTTTGAGCGACCTCGAGTTAAAGCCATTCAAACTAGAAGTTCAAGAATACGACTTCTGTAGAATACAATTTAATGTTTCTTAGATAGATGGAAAGTAATTCAATTGTTTAATATCTTCATAATTCCAACATCATACATCATATATCTTCCAGCTGGATTTTCCTTTTTAAGAAATCGGAAAGAATTTTTTATTTCTGAAGATACTCATCTGATACAAACTTGCAGTGTGAGTTTTGAGTTCCCTGTAGCTTGTCATATATACTAATAACCAAATGAGCCCGAATTGAGGTATTGCAGATTATTACAAGGATTAATAGTACGATTACAATATATTGAATTGCGTAGAAAATTTCTGATCTTAGAAGTTAAAAGTTTTTGTTATACTAATGTTGTTTATAGTAAATAGATAAATATTTATACCGAAAATTTGTTATTTTTGCCATGCTTGGCAATAAACAAATTTGTCAAAGATTTAACTAAAATCTTAAAATAATATAATAAAATATAATTATATTCAAAAACCAAATTATAAAGTTTTGGATTTGCTTATTATATTTATAAGACACTTATGTGTAAAAAATCATTTTGTGATTTTATAAAAATGTCATACACTACTGTATCAGTTTTATCCAGTTATAGATTTGATATTCTTGCGTTCACTAAAAGTTTGTAAAAATCTAACTCAAACCGACAAAAACAGCATAGATGGTTTGCATATTAATACTCGGATGAATGTTGTAACAACTATTTATTTTGCAAAAAATAATTATATAATATATTATAATATATAATATTATAATATATATATAATATATAATAATATTATACATGCAATAAATATAAAATATCGTCACTAAAATGTTAAGGCGCTATGCTCCACTTTGGGAAAAATGACAGCAGTAAGTATCACTAATACATTACCTTATTCTAAATTGGGTAGCGTACAATTAAATTTTATAATAATTTAATACATATGAAAATATCAAGATTAAATTATATTACTATAAAAAAAGAAAGAAAAATTGTATCGGAATTGCAAATGATTCTCAATACAATTCACACATATCATTATCATTAATCATCAATTTATTTTTTTTATAATAGTTTGTGAATAAACTATTATAATTTCCTGTTATAATTATTAAACAGTATTATTGGTTAGTTAATTAAAATACATAATAATGTTCTTAAATATTGTTTTCATTAATATAAATATTTTTTAATACATATAAAATATTTCTATCGGAACAATATGAATACTCATATTTCTATATATTTGTATAATAAACAAAAAGCAGAAACAAAAATATAAACGAAAAACAATAAAAAAGCAATGAAATACAATATATAAAAGCCATAAAAACAGAACAACTATACAAATAAAATAATATATAATTAAATATGTTTTTGATAATACTTAAATAAATTTATTAGTTTACCAACAATAACGGAAATAGTCGAAATATCGGAAATTAATTTTATTATAAACATTTTTCTTTACAAACATGGAAAATAAACATCATATTTGAATTTGAATTAATTGATCAATTACCCATTTCATAATTAGAATGTAATTTCATTCATAAAAATAAAAAATAAATCAATGTATATACAATAAGTACATTAAACAGGGTTAGATGATGGAAGTGTTACTAACTATACATAGGTATAATTTCAAATTTTTCAAACATTGTGTTCTCTGATGAAAAAAATTTCCCCATTAAACAGTTCATAAACTCTCAAAATGATCGTGTATACTTAACTGAACGCACTGCCGAAAATTTGAGACTACGAATGGCCACCCATTCGTTATTTTCCATCCCAAGTATGGGCAGCTGTAATCGCCAATGGTCTTCAATTGTTTTCATCGAGTCTGGTGTCAAAATCAATGCGACTTATTTTCGAATCTTTTAAAAGTTTATTTAAAACGCAAATATTTAGGTCGTAGACCATGTTGGTTCCAACAAGATTCGGCACCGGTCTCATATAGCTCGACTCAAGATTGGTTAAAAAATCATGTTCCACACTATATGTCGTATGAATATCCACACAATGGCTTTCGAATTTGCCAGATGCAAATCCGATGGACTATTCCATTTGGTTCATTTTGGAGAATAAGATAAGGATTAAAAGGACGACAGTATGAAATGGGTCAAAATACCGTAAGATCAGATTCGTAAAGCATCCAATTCATTTTTTAATCGTTTAAAGGCCATAATCAAGAAAAACGTGCCCACATCGAACTAGAGTGTATAGATTCTAATATTTTGATTATTTCTACAAGTTTTTGTAATTTGAATCAATAAAAAATAATTTAACACAAAAAAGATATGGTCACTTGAATAGGTAACACTTCAATCGCTTAACTCTGTATAAATAGTTGTCAATTCTTCGACGACAATCATCAAACAATATAATCGAAATATCGTATATAATTTTGTTATAAACATATAAAATAAACATTATAACAATTCATAATTAATATTAGGTTTTAATCATAAAAATAAATTTATTTATAATTTATGGGTGTATCTATAACTATTTGCCTGTAATTTTTACAGATTATTGTAAAGATGCATATTTTATAAACGTTTAGTATTAATTAAATCTACTTTTTTAGGCATTAATAATGTTACTTTGGAGCATAAAGGTATAACTATTGTCCGTGTAAAATTAGCGTTTCTTATACTACGATTTTGAAATCAAAAAAATATTAATATACGTAGTAAAATACTGCACTTCCTATTTTAATTACTCATATTTCTTTCTATGAATTATTAATATTCAATTAAATATAATTATTTAAGGAAAAGAGTTAATTGGTTAATGAGAACAATTGTTTGACATGGGTTGACATAATTTACACACCTCTACTACTCAATTTCAAGGTAAATTATAATTCTATAAATATGAGTAAGTATTCCTAATTAAATGAAGTCTTTAGGCAGACAATGGAAAGTATCTACTAACGTCGTGTTTCAGTGTTGAACCTATTTCAATTTAACTAAAATAAACGCAAAAATTAGGATAATTGCAAAAATAATCAAATACTTAAATTATTTTATGTAAAATTATAATAAATACTTTTATAAACTTTTTGCACTAATAATGTGACATTGGTCAGCTGAAAATCATATTTATTTCAATATTATATTGACTAATAATAAACGCATAAATAAACTGGACTTATAAATTGGAGAAGTAGTGAATTTAGCAACTTCAAAGTGAACACGTAAATACTTAACATTGCGATGACATCTGAAATCAAAACTTGGGAAGCATTAACCTATCAATGGAAAGTTTGGAAATTCTTCGGTCTTGTACCTCCACAGGAAGGGTCCATTTGGCGTTTGCCATACATTATTATAACATCTGTATTTAATATATTACTATTTTTACTATTCCCCTTAACTCTTATAGTGAATTGCATGCAATCGAAGAGTGTCTCTGAGTTTTGTGAAAATGGCTACATGGCTGTTACTGTCATTGTTTCGAATTTGAAATTTTTAAATTCATATTTTTCTCTTCACAACTTATTGAAAGTGCGTCCAATTCTCAAAGAATTGGATAAAAGAGCAAAAAGTCAAGCAGAAGATCAAATATTGCTTAAGGGTAAAAATAATGCTAGAAAATGTTTTATGTTTTATGTACGCATTTTTAGTGTGACACATTTTACAAGCAATTTAATTGTCTTCTTGGCAAAGGAACGTAGGCTTATATACCCAGCTTGGTTTCCTTGGAACTGGAAAGATTCATTTACATATTACGCCATATGTTATGTATATCAATTATATGCCATAACAGCTTATGCTGTCATTGAAGCTATAAACGTTACTTATCCCTCGATGCACATGTGCATATTGTCAGCTCATATAGAAGCTTTGGCTACACGTATTAAGAATTTAGGTTCCAAAGAGGCTATATATGACAATAATTCTAAGAAACAAGAAGAAAAGCTATATAAGGAACTTACAGAATGTGTTAAAGTTCACGAAATTATAACCAAGTATGAAAATAAAATCAAAATGGATAAATAAATATTTATTTCATTACATTTTAGATTCTTTCAAATTACGGAAAGTACTATAGCTGGCTCATGCCTAATACAGTTCATGAGCACTGGACTTGCTCAGTGTACTTTAGGAGTATTTTTTCTCTATAATGGCTTGAGTAATGATGTAAAGCTATTAAATATTGTTTTCTTCTTCATGGCAGTAAGTTTCATGACGTTCGATTTGTGTTACTATGGCACTCAACTCCAAGAGGAATATAAAAATTTAAGTGCAGCTGTATATTCTTGCAATTGGATGGATCAAAGCAAAAAATTCAAGGATTCAATATTAATTCTTTTACATAGGACACAAGAATTTAATCATATAAATGCATATATTGTGCCAATTATATTACCAACGTTTTTAAAGGTATGGTTAGCAGATGGTTGAGGTATTAAAAGTCATTATGTACTTTTCAATAATGTGACATATATTTAAGAGTTATTATACTCTTTATGCTGTCAAATATTTAAAAAAAATGTAATCAAAACAATGGTTATTCAAAATTGTTTATTAAATTATTTCATCTGTGATGACTGCACATGTATAAATTGTTAACATTTTTAAAAATTATAAATTAAAATTAATTCTTAATTTTTGTTTTTTAGGTGATGAAATTTGCATACTCTGGTTTCACTTTTCTAACCAATTTCAAGTAATTAAGACAGAAAATTATGTTTGAGACAGGCAGAAGATGATCAAAAAAGTGTAAATAGAATTTGAGAGTATCCGAGTATGAAAGAGTGACCTTTAAAACTAAGTTATATCATAATAAATATATATCACTATGAAATATAAAAACTTATTATTAATATGAACTTATTCAATTCATACTTGAATACATGATTTAATAAATTTATTTATGCAAAGAGTGTGTACCTACTATTGAGGTAAAATTTAGTACTGAAACATGTTTTAATTATTCGCTATTATAAATAAATATTAAAAATAAACATTAAAGTATCATGTTATCTAAACTTTTTAATACTTTCCATTAAACAAAAGCAATTCTCTCAGTCTTTTTTTTATTTTTGATAATCTGAGCTATTAAAATAATGATGAACTTTTTTACTCAGGATGAGGATGCCGAAGCCACCTGCAAAGTCAAGCAAAGACTACTTTAGTATTACCATTTAAATTTGAAGTTGGAAATCTCTCAATTATTAAGATCTATTTATTGAGTTTACAGATTTTAATCCCGGAAGGTCAGAACTGGAATTTTTGCTTGATATTAATTGATTCTCATTTACATTTTTATCGTTAAATAAAATATTAATTGATTTATTAATGGAATGAAAACTTATAAGTATTAGGCAGCTCTTATATTTTTCGACAACTTTAATAGTGAAAAATACTTTTAATTTGTCTTAGATTTACTTGTATCTGTTTTTCAAGAAACTCTTACAATCTTGAAATCTGTAAACTAAATTCTGAACTTAAATGGAAAGCAAGAATAATCATGGTTCTAAATGACAGTTAAGCTGCTTTTTAATGCTTGGCCATCCCAATTAGATTACTTCAATTTGTCGATAAATGCAAATACTGGGTTAAGCTATTCGGCATATCAGGAAACGAAATAGCGAACAAACAGTTCTGAAACGATACCTTGTGATTAGCATTCACATCTTATTTTGCCAACAATTGATGTGAGAATAACTATTGATATTTGGATCCAATTTAAATCGAACAATTAATGTCGAATTAAGCTATATCATATCGGTCTTTCCTGAAGTTATTAAAAAGAAACAGATTTTCCTATGACTGTTTTATATGAACTATAGACTACTAATTAGTACGATGGACTCTTACGCGAAACACCGCTTCCGTGTTGGTCTCACTGCCGTCAGGCTATGTCCAATTTTATTTAGTAAACGATGACCCCAAGAAATATTTTCTATGCTATTGTTCCGCCCTCTCAAAACTTAAACTTAAAGCTCTCGAGGTTGACGCTTTAAGTACCACAAAAATTATTTCCTTATCGGTTCCCAGCATTTTCTGTCTCCACAAAAAAGTAAAATATTCGTTAAACGTTTCCAGTGTCGTGTTGAATCGGCAGTAAAACATAGTTTCATATAGTTATAGCGTGATTTTTAAAAAAACATCTAGCCCGTGTTCTCTAGGTGGATGCCCACCTAAAGATTAAAAGATTTTACAGACATTACTTCATCAGATAACTACTTGTTCAGATTGATGACTAATGCTCTTAACGAAAAACTGTTGTGAATATTGAAGAAGTCGCAAAGCAGTCACTGTGCTGAATCAGTTTTATAGATGTAGTTGGAAAGGTGAAAAAAGTTGAAATTTCTAATAGGTAACACTTTGAATATTCAACATATTAACGAAAAGTATATGGATTTATTTCACAACTTAACTTACACACCCAATATTATTATATGTATATGTTATATTCTTAATGCATTTCAAATTTATGCGCAATACTATATATTTGTACTGAAAATTCTGTTTAAATATACAAATTGTTTATCTGGTGTATAGTAACAAAATACCTTGAAACAAAACTTTTAAACTTCAATAAACATTCATTTTTGAGGTATGAGAAGTAATATGTACTACTTTAACTTTTATTAGTAATATGTGTCAATACATAATCCTGCAAAGTAAACAACGTAAATGATGTATTAACTTGATACATTTTTAATAAATCTATTTTTTATTTACGTAGGGTGTTCGAAAAGTTTTTCAACCAAACAGCAACTGTATTGCTTTATAGAGCAGTCTTGAAAATATCAACTGGTATCGAAATTCGTTTTAATAAATTTTTTTTGGCCGACTTCAAGAGTTTTTTAAAGAGAATCAATTATCTAGCTGCAATTTCCTAAATACCTATTTTGGTATTAAAACTTAATAAATTGTTAAATATTTAATATATTTAATTAAATTTGAATAAAATGATGTTCATGTAGTCTCTATTGCATCGTATGCCATAGTAAAGCTTCCATTTCTGACCTCAAATGTAAGTATTTCAGTTTAATTGATGAACGTCACCCGATCACTTAAGAAAAGGAACTTTTTTGGTTTTTCTCATAAGCAATAATAATAATAAACGTGTCAAACTTCAAACATATTTGTATCGGTTAAGTAGATAAAAATCATTTTTGGAGGCCAAGAACCTCCACTACTTCCCAAGCCAAAACTTTATCAAATAGTATTGGATGATGGTGAAATAAAAATTAGAAAACATACTAAAGTTTTGAATTAAACAATCGACTTCATTTAGAATATATTGTATAAAAATTTGCGCATGGTAAAGCTTTCCTCGCATTTGAGGTTAAGTTTAGTTAGCGTCTTGAGAGAAAAAAATGTAGTGATTCGAACACTTTTAGCAAAATGAGATAAATAGAGTTGCGTACAGTTGTGATAACTAATGGAAAATGAAGCAACCGCTAATAGTCTGAAGACTAAACAATAATCAAAGCAGTGAATTAATAAGTTGAAGAAGTTTAGAAGATGATAAAGTTCTTGTGCTGTCAGTCAGAAATTAGCTGATAGCCTGTTCAGCTTTTTTTGGGTGATATGAGTATATGGCTAAATGGGAAAAGGTAAACATTATTGAACACCAAAACTCTCTGTTTATAATAGGTAAAGTTTTATTTCACCATGACACTTTGGCTTACACTTTGGTAGTTGCCAACAATTGGTTAAAATTCATGAATTGCGTCTCCAATTTATTTACTGTCTTTCACCAGATTTGATCTCCAGTTACTACAAAATTTGCAACAAATATATATTACCGCAAATGGATATTGAGCTTAATTGTATAATTAAGAGATATTAAAGAATTTTGGACATCGTTGGCAAAAGTATTCCGAATTAAGATGTTGAAAAATAAACCACAACAAAGAATTCAAAAAAGCTACTTTCTATGCTGTTACCTAAACTCTTCGATCATCCCTCGTTTAAACTTATAATATTAATTTCAATAAAAAAGTTAAAAAAGTAAAAGATAAATTTGTTTAAGAATCCATAACTGACATGAGTTGTGTTGCTATCAAAATGACTTAATTTTGTATAAACTGAAGGGAATATTAGCATTTAAATATTAATACTGAAAGAGACAAAGAATAGTTTTTATTTTTGCTGTATCTTAGAGTAACTTTATTTTGATTTTTTAGTAATTTCACTAATTGGATAAATTACAAACTTGTTTAAACACATTTTCTTTTACTTAAAATTAATGTTAAAGTTTCACAAACTTTTCGAGCTAATCATGTGACTACGATAAGCTGAAAACAATTATTCCTTTTTTATAATATATATACTTACTAATTGCTAGATTTAAAAAATTTTGATTCTATAGATTCCAACATCAAATGTGAAAGCACAGACTTTCATTAGTAATATGATGACTGAAGTCAACACTTGGGAAGCACTTACTTATCAATGGAAGGTTTGGAAAATTTTTGGTCTTGTGCCTCCGCAACAAGGATCACCATGGCGTTTGGTATACATAGTTGGCACCACTGCATTTAATATATCAGTATATTTACTATTTCCTATAACACTTATAGTAAATTGCTTTCATTCAAAAAATGTAGCCGAATTCTGTGAGAATTTCTACTTAACAATTACCGTCATACTGTGTACCTTGAAATTTTTAAATGTGGCCTTCTCACGTAAGAATCTGTTAAAAGTGCGTTCCATACTAGAAGAGTTGGACAAACGTGCAAATACTGAAGCTGAGCGTGAAATACTGCTGAAGGGGAAAAATGATGGCAAAAAATGTTTTATGTTCTATGCACGTATTTTTGGAATGACGTTTTTAACAAGCAACTTAATCGTTTACTTAGCAAAAGAACGTAGATTTATGTATCCTGCTTGGTTTCCTTGGAATTGGAGGGATTCACGTAAATATTTTGCAATAAGTTATTTATATCAGTTGCAGGCTTTAGCAGGCCAAGCAATAAGTGAATTTGTAAATGTTACTTATCCTTCGATACATTTACGCCTAATATCAGCTCATATCGCTGCGTTGGCAATACGTATTGAAAATTTGGGCTTAAAGGAAACTAATACAAACGCTGCTGATTTCAATGAACGAGATGAAAACTTATATAAACAACTCACTGAATGTACTAAGGATCATGACATTATTAGAAAGTATGCATATATGCAATAGAAAAATAAATTTATGTATAAGATATTATTTTTCAGTTTATTTCGAATAACGGAGCGCACAATAGCTGCCACTTGCATATTTCAATTTATGAGCACTGGATTCGCTCAATGCACTTTAGCCATTTTTTTTCTATACAATGGCTTAAGCAGCGATATAAAATTGATAAATAATTTTTTCTTTTTTTTGGGAGTCACTTTCGAAACTTTTGATTTGTGTTACTATGGCTCTCAACTTCAAGAGGAATATAGAAATTTGAATAAAGCAATATATTCTTGCAATTGGATGGATCAAAACAAAAGATTCAAACATGCTTTGTTGATTTTATTACACAGATCACAGACATTTACTAACATAAATGCTTATATTGTACCAATTACTCTACCAACATTTTTAAAGGTATGCATAGTAACAGAATACAAATATATAAATTAGAATAAGCAAATAGCTAAATTAAGGATAATACTAACTATTAACGGGACAGTTATGTTAATGTTTCAGAGATTTTAAAAATTTGTTATATATAAAAAAATTCATTCCGAAATTTTTTTTAAAAATTTTTGATAATAATACTAGCACGTTTTTTTCTATTATCTCTGATAAAAAGTTGACATTATAATTCCTTTTATTTAATGTTTAAACATGAATCTATATTATATATATTTATTTATAATTTTTTTTAGGTTATGAGAACAACATATACTGGATTTACTTTTCTATTCAATATAAAGTAGTAAGCAGTTTTGTTTCTTTTTGAAAAATTATGCTAAAAATGTATTTCGCTTGAAAAGCACTGCAGCTGGAGTTTAAAATATGCACCGAGTAAATCAAATAAAAATCAAATTTTGAAAATTTATTACATTATCTTAAATTTTTATAGAAAACGTATATGGCTTTAGATTTACTATAGCTGCTATATCATGCACACAACGAGTTCTATTTTAAATCAATTACTTTCTATTTATATATTTAATTTTTCAGTAGTATGCATTCTCCAATTCTTTATTTTATTTAAAATAACATATGTGCATACATAATATTCAATAATGAAGACATATATTCAATTCCTGGTACTTGCAGTCTCAAAAAAATAATTAATAATAATTATATAATAATAATACAAGAATAATTAAATACAAGAATTATTTCCAAGACCACAAATAATGGGTATTTGGCAATACTCGAAACAGTTGCATGGTCAGACAAAAATTCAATTAATTAAAATAATATAAAAAATAAAATTTTTGTTGTAGTAATTCACTACTGTTCGAAAAAACCTCTTGATTGAAAAGTATAAATTCGTTTTCGATAAAATTTCATTTGGGATATAGTCAAACCATATTGTCTTTTTATCTTCACATCCATCTATATTCTACTTCTATATATATATATGTATATATTTATATATCTTTATCTATTTTACCTATTTATATCTTTTGATATCGTATTATATTAGCTTTGTTAAATTATCCATGAAAGAAAATATAAAATAGTAAAAATTTTTTTAAACTCAAAACTTTAAAATAAATTTAAAAAATGGTGGGGTTGCAGTAGGGCCTTGCATATTAAAGCCTATTTGAGTACTTATAATACTAAAAGTTTTATTTTTATTTTAATTTTTTTATTGTCTTTTCATATATAATATTTTTCTTTTTATTATTTAATAATTTGTAAATTGTTATTTATTGTGTATATATTTTTTATCTTTTTTTTTGTCACTTTTTAAGTTAGTTTTAAGAATTAAGGATTTTTCCCTTAAAGCATTTTCTTAAAATAAATAAAAATAAAATTGGCATAAAGACCAAAGCCACAATCAAACAGATTGCCTTTAGAGCATATACAACGCCAAAGAGATCAAGCACTTCTCTCCCATGTAAATAAATGTAAAGTGTGAAGTTAAGTAACCTGACAAATAAATAAACTTGTCTATATCCTTTACTTTAAAGGAAGATAACTTTTTCGGTGAGATCGGTGAGAAAAGGTACTAAAAGGTCCAAAAGATATTAAAACTTCTACTGGCCAAATATAGGTGCCGACACATAAGATAAAACATAATTTTCCTTCCTTATATAGAAAAATAGCTACGACTAAAGTCAATTTGGTTTTCACTAAATCTCATTGGATCTCTCTTTAATAAGGTTGGATCTCTCTTATAAAAAGTATAAAAATAGCGTCAGTACTATACTTTTTGTAGAAACATTATTCACTGCATATTTTTACATTATTCATTGCAGATTATTTTTTCTTATGTATAGATACTTATTTGGAACATTATTTCCAAGAAGTTATACCTATGTTACTCTACGATCACTAATGCAAAACATAAAGTAGAAGAATATATTTTGTCCATTCTTTTATTTTAAATTAATAAAAAAAATTAAATTGAATTAAATTTAATTTGAAAATATTTTCTTTACATAATTTTTATAATTAGATATTTTAATACAATTTATTGCATTAATACTCTTACTTCTAAGATAAACATAATAAATCAAATGATAGATATATTTTGTTAGTTTTTCTAAATTATACAGACCAAATTATGAAATGCATTTACTCATATGTTCAATTTATAAGTTTTGGGGAAATCAATCTTATTACTGACATGAATTTTTCACGTGATTTATTGTTATCATTATTAATATAATATGTGTATATATTATAAGTGAAGTACTTATAACAATTAATTTATGAAAATGCGAACATCAATCATCGAATTCCAAACAAACAAACAAAAGTAAATTTGATTTGTTTGAAAACATTTTGGTTTGTTATATAAATATACATAAAATAACAACTAACAAATGGTAAAGATAATTTATGAAATCATAAAAAAGAAAATAAAATTTTCTTAATAGAAAAGTTTATAGTTCACACCGTAAAAGAAAACTTAGGAGTAGTTCAACCAGAAACTATTCGTTTTCCACATGAATTTTATTTATAACAAAATTAAAATTTCAGATATTATTTTTATGTCAGTGGAAGCAACTCTATTAAAGCACTGACAGTGATAAAGCAATATCTCCGATGAGAACTCTTCCCTGCACTTGGTTCCATGCAGTGTGAACAGATTTGCATGTAAATTTCCTTGTGTGCAATGCGAAAAATGTACATAAACCGTGAATGAGATTTGAGGAAAATAAAAATAATATTAAAATGGAATGGTAAACATTAACAATAAACTACTGAACTTCCTGTCTCAGGGAAACGGATAAGTATAACAGCAATCCCTGCAAAACACAATAAAAAGTTTATAAGCAAAATTGAAAACTATTACTTCCGCCAACTGCAAAGACAAGCAGGAAAACGGAAAAGTGGCAATGGCAACACTTAAAAAATGTCTTACAGAAAATTTTTTTACTACATTTTCCATTTTTTTTTCCTCCTAACTTTTTACTTGACACTTAAACGTTTACACGATGCAATAAGAAAAAGAGTTTAAAAGAAATCATAGAAAAAGGATTTTCAACGATTTTCTCTAAGTCAGCACAAGGAGCACCAGTAGTAGTTAAATTGGACTTCAGTTCCCAGTTCCACTCGTAGAAAATCGTTTAAAGAAAAATATCTGAAAATTAATTCAACTGATGTAGATTTTACCTAGTAATTCCTTGCCTGAATCATGCATTAAAAGGTGTGCAAGTGTGCTTTCCCAGTAGGAAAATTTTAATTTAATGCAAAACTGTGCATGCCTGCTTATGGAAGCAGTCAGATTTTACAGGAAATTGCGGCTCTGACAGGAAACTTATTTGCCGTCAATTAAATTCCAACCATGCCAAACGCAGTGTTGAATTATGAAATCCTGATAATACAAAAGGGTCATAAAATTGTGTATGAATTGAATGCAAATTAATATTAGTAGTAATATTAGTAGTTTTAATATCACCAACCACTAATGATAAATATTATGACTGCTAAATAGTAATTAAGCGTTATTAATTTTACAACACAAAATATTCATATTATCAGATATGAAATATATGCAAATATTTTTATATGTAATGCAGAATATGTTAATTCTGTGATGACTATACATTGAATATGGCATAAATATGCATAGTGGAGTATATCTTTACAATTTTATATTCAATATAAAATTAATTTTACGATATTTCAATAATGTAACCTGCAGTTGATGCACTTGTATGCTGTACAGGATGTTAGGTTGATTAAGGTAAATATACGTTTGGAAAATTAAGTCAATCACAGAAAAAGAAATATCAAGAAAAATGAAAAATATAATATAAATTTCACATCATTATAAGTTTTATTAACAAAAATAATAATTAAAAAAGAGTTCTATTTCACAAATACAAAAGAATATGAATTTATTTTCAATAGTCTTATGCTATATTCTGCGGTCTAGGTAAAGGAACTCTATCCATTCTTCTGAATGGCGCAGAGGAAAAGGAAAGAGAACTTATTGAGAAAAGCTACTAAGACTATCACAATCTAAACTGCTTTTAGGGACTTACAGCCTGGAACAAACAAAAAGTACCTAAGAATTATTACGGAATTACTAAGCCCACCTTGTAGATTAAATAATTACCTAACAAAATTAGGAATCCAATTCAACTCAGACTATAGATGCTGTAGAGAAAAGAGAGAAACCGCTTGCCATGTGCTAGAGAAGTGCCCGACATTGATGAACAAGAGGAAGAAACACCTAGGAATGTATTTCATGGAGCATAAGGATTCAACACTAGGAAAGACAGACCCTATACTGTCTTTCATTAAAGAAATCGGACCTGAAGAAACACTTTAATTCGACTAAGGAACACAATAGATCTTTAAGATCACAGTGTACTATCCTCTTTTCATAATAATATGCTATATTCTTTTTTCGTTAACTAAAAGCGGTTGCGATATTCTTGGCACTTTCTTTTAATAAGCAATATTTGTAAAGACAACTATTTTTACATTTCTTTATGTTATTAATTGTATCATGTATTGGGTCTTTAAGTTAAAAATTTTCGCATGAAAACTATAACAATTAAGAACAATTCATGATAAATTTATATATACTCCTTGGCGCTAGTATTCATAGATTTTTTCTCTTTGTGTATCGTTTGATCTCCAGGCTGACATCATTGTTCTACGTTACGACGATGCCAAGGTAGATGTAATTCTTGACTGATTCGAAAGTATAGTCGCCAACCACTAACTCAGCTTCCGAACCACGACGAAATCCTCCTCTACTGCTTAATATAAATAATTTAAAAAGGCTTCAAGGAATGAAATCTTTTGACTGACATCTCAAGCTCAGTAACAATTTTCTAAAGGAATTGTAATATATTAAACCATTGAGCATAACTTTAGCGAATTGTAAACAGATTTACTGTTTTATAGTAACATATTATTGCGTTATTGCAAGTTCCATGGATTTTGGTAAATTCCAATATACTGAATAACTTTACCACTATGGTTTGTGGCTATATAGTTCTAGGGGGTTCAGGTTTAAAATTTACACACATGTACCAACAACCAAACGGATCCTCTTTTACGTCTTCTTGTTGGTAATTGTTATGTTAGAATCGGTACTTTGGGTATTAAGTAATTCGAAAAAGGGGAAGGGACGTTGCTGCAATTGTGACGAAAACTAACAAAGATACGTTGTAAAATGGCAAAAAAATGGTATGTATTTCCCTAAAGTTCACACATCCATTTAAAAAATGAATACTAATTTTAATTAACCACTTTTTATAAAACTCGAAACTTATTTTAACTCTGCAAATGG